ATGCCAAAACAGTCTTAATAGAATGAGTGCATATGTAAAGAGGGATTAGAAAAGTTAAAATAGATTACAAGAAGCTAGGTAAAGAACAAGAATTACAATTCAAAATGCCTGCTTATTTCATAATGAAGTTGTTGTCTTTTGTTTTTTGAAACATAACATATAGAAGGAAATGTAACTACATTAACTTTTGAGGTTGGATGGTTTTCAAACTGTTTTCAAACAATGCCATAAGAAGTAAGTACACCAATTCAACATCAAGTCTTGCCAGCCACTCCTGACCTCCCCTTTGTCATCCAGTGTAACCTCATTTTTAAGGATTTCAGTCATGTTTTGTGAATTCATTCAAAACTACTCCCAATGGCAGCATATCTTAACCTAATAGATTCCTAAACGTCATGAGCTGGAAATCTTTCCTGTGTAAGTACTAAACCACTATGTCTAATGGCAATTTAGGAAATGGCTTTTTTTTTTCCTTTGATACCCTTCTACCTCTCATTTCCGCCAAGTTTTTTCCCTTCCGACAAAGACTTCTTTCAATTCATATGGCCGGTGTCAACATAAAATGTCTCCAGAACAGAGCTTTGCTTTTTTCTCCTCCTAGTGCCAATCTCTTTAATTCCATGCACTTCAAAATCCCAGCTTAAGTAGCTAAAAAGAGGTCTAATTGAATTTAGTTAGGTTTAATAACAGCAGCTTAGGACTATTTCTCCTAGAAATGTACTTCTTAAATATGCCCTTGGTCCACAGGTAAGCAAAGTTTACTAGGAAATTTAAAGCATCTTCCCTCAGAATACAGCAGATAAAACCACAAAGGTGGCATGTGACTCCGGGACCAGGCCTCCAGTAACACAGGTGAAATTCTGTCCTCCCTTGGCCCATGCTGAATTTCCAAAAGGGGCATCATGACTCACTAATTGAAAATCCAAGTCCTTGAAAATGCTCTCTCCATGGAGAGCTGGCAGAGACTTGAATCCCTTTTTTTTTTTTTTTAATACTCCCTTTTCCACAACAAACTGGCTACAGATCATCAGCAAATGAATGGGTGCAGGATGTTTATATTCACAAGCATAATAAAGGATCCCACCTACTGAGCAGTTACTTTAAAGCTAAAACAAATAAAGCACTGGTGCTGTCAAGTCCATGTCAACACATACGATCTAAGAGGCCTGAACAGAGCTGCCCTGTAGGGTTTTCCAAGGTTGTAATCTTTACTGTCAAAATGCTCCTTAGAAAGATGGCAAAATTTTGGACATGTAATTAGGAGGGACCAGTCCCTGGAGAAGGGCATCAGGCTGGGCAGAGGCAGGTCGTTCTTCGGCAACACCTCAGTGGACTCAAACCACCACTTTCAGTGAGAAACCAAATGCATTAACCATTTGTACTGTCTGAGGACATCAGACTTAATTTATTTAGATGCTCCCTGAGTCAACGTATTAACGCTTTCTGTAACTCGTAGGCTCCAATAAATAAAAAGGACTCAGCACCATACTGTCAATGACAGAGAGAAAAGATGTGGGTGGTAAGACTTACTTAAGATTTCATAAAAGAACACATTTTTAGTCAGTTCTGCACTGCTGAAAATTCCTATGTCTAAAAACATGGGTATACTTTCTGAGGATTTTACTTGAGGTCCCAGCTCAACTGTGTGTCACCAGTATAGGGACTTTTGAGTCACTTTTCAAACTAAAGCCCAAGTGAGGAAAGTATCCAGTGGTACATTTGGACCCTGACCCATTTGAAAGATCAGTAACCACTGCTCAGTAGTCATTATATATACACTTGCCTAACAATAGAAACAAACAAATAAAACAGTTTCTCTGCAGGTATTCCATTTCATGGTTAGCCCATGTTTTTCATAATAGACCTTAGCTCCCTAAGGTTTTCCCTATGGATTTTATCTTTTGGAAGTAGATCACCAAGCATTTCTCTCAAGATGCTTCTCAGTGGATTTAAAATACCTGTTTGCATAGTGGTTAAGCACTGGGCTGTTAACTGCACATTTCAAAACCACCAGCCACTCCAAGAGAGAAAGATGAGGCTTTCTACTTCCTAAATAGTTAGTCTTGAAAACCCAAAGGAGCAGTTCTACCTTGTTCTGTAGAACAGAAATGAGTGGGGATGGACTCGATAGCAGTGAGAGGCTTGGTGAGTTCTCGAGTAGTAGCAGAGTTTTCAGTTGTTTGTGCTACGCAGGTACTCTCAGTACTACTGAATCTGGTTACATTAAAAAGTCAACTATTATAAACTATATTTGTTTTCTTCTCTCTCTTTTTTTAAACTTTTCAATCTACACACACTTTTCAGAGGACCATCATTCACTTACACATAACCATTTCTCCCCTTTCAGGAATCCTCTCCCTACATGTGGTACGTCATACTTTGATTTAGTTAGTTTACACATGTAAAGAAAGTTAAGTGAAAAGGATGAGAAAAATAATTTAAAAAGAAAAGGATGAAAATGCAGATGTTCTAGAGTGGATTTATAAACTCTGGTGCTACTCAAGTGACAGGCATGCTTATTGGGTAAATTTAATCAAGGTTTATAAGACAATCAAAGAAAGCAGGTTAATTTCAAATTAATAATTGTAAAGGTGTCTTTTTAACGTGACTTTAATCTACTCAAATGACAACCAGATAAATAAAACTGTAGTTGAGTGCAGAATCAAGAGATCTGTTTTACTACTTCCTAACCTTCCAAAACCAAACTCACTGCCACCCAATCAATTAAGCATATTAATTTAAAATTTTTGCTAAGCCCTTTTTTCACATCTGTAAAATGGAGTCATGAATAGATGTGGCTCATGGGGTATAGCAAGAATTCACTAAAACACTCACTTTCTACCCCAGCCTCTGTTTCAGCTGCTTGGCTTGATGAGAGTTCCAACACAATAGTGGAAGTTTAGAAAATATTCCACTTGAAGATGTGGTTTGGGAAATTCTAAACAAGGTCTAACAATAATCAAAATACACAAAATAAACAAAAATATAGTCTTCTATAACTCACATTAAAAAAATGTACACCATAAGTATGTATAAGAAAGTGCTGTTTTTCTAAATCTAACCCAAGAAGTTGTTTCAATATACTGAAACATAGATCTATTTTGATCTCACACATTTTTAAAGGTTTTACTTTTAATTTATAAAGGGGAAACAAAACTATGCATAGTCTCTACCTCATCCCCCAAAGGGGACCTTAATGATGTTATACAATGGGAAAGTGACAAAGAATACCGGACAAGTTATATTTAAACATTTTGAGATAACCCAAATATACACACACTGTACAAGTACCTACTCCTACCATGTCCTGTTATGATACGCCTATGACCTCCGTTTGACAGGGCTAGTCAATCCCTTTTCTTGACATACTTCCTATTTGCTTTAAAGTAACCACAACCTATTCACAATATCAAGAATACAGAAACAACCTAATGCCCTTGTGGAAGAATGAATAAATAAGCTTTGATACATACACACAGTAGAATTTTACACATTGTTTAAGAACTGTTTGTTTAATCAAACTGTGAAACACCTCATGACAATGATGGGTTTGGAGTACTTTATGCTGAGAGAAGCTAATCAAACACAAAAGGACACAAAGTATGAGACCAGTTACCAAAAAAAAAAAAATCAAGAAAATGTTTTCATACCCAAAGAAATAAACTTCGATGATTACCAACGATGGGAGGGAAGGGTAGAGAGGGAGAACAATAGGGTAGAGGGTAAAAAGGTGTTAACTTGGGTGAAGGCAACATAATATACTAAGAGGGAAGTAAGGTCCAAAGGGCAGGAAGGGAAACAGCACAAGATATTGGGAAGTTAGATAAGCTGCTTAAATTGTTGAATGTAAAAATGATGACCTGGTTTATACACCCTCACCTAATTCACAATGAAAAATGAATAAAGTGCTTATTTTGTAATATTGTTTAGCACTACATTATAAAACAGCAGAGAAGTAGACCTTCGGTACATTTCAGCTTGCTTTCAAAAAGTTGTGAAAACAAAATCCTATTTGAAAAGCAATAAGGTTAAGGGGATTGGCATTTATTAAACACACAAGCACAGACATAAACCAAAAATATCCTGCAGTTATGCCTTCTGAGTTGTAAATTGCCCTGGGTTTATGTTTTTCAAATTTGTATTATTCTAAACAAAGTTTTAAGTAAGCATGGTCATGCTACCGCAAGCCACATAGGGGGGAAAACGATAACTTTTTTGCATGTGGGAAATAAAAAGTCTTGGGGCAATCTTTTCCCATTATTTTTATTATATATATCATTAGAAAGCAAGCCTGAGTGAAAACTTTAACACGGCCACAAAAGCCATCAATTTCTAGATTTAAAAAAGGATGAAAGTAAAAGAAAACGTACTAAAAGCAATCCACGTATTTTTGCCCTGTAAATACTAAGCACTCTCTTCACGAACCACAGAAGACTTGAGGGCAAGAGGGCAATAAATCGCAAAGAGCTACAGTCTTGGAAACTCACAGGGGCAGTTCCACCCTGTCCTATGGGGTCGCTATGACTCCACATATTAGATGGCAATAAGAAGATAGATACCTAATTCCATTCAACAGTCACTGTACATCTATCGGTATGGCGCTAGGCAGCTGAACCGAAACAAACGTGAAAAATGATAAGAATACACAAAACCACGTGAGAGCCCATAAGCATGAGACCCTCACAGCAAAGTCGTGGAATCTGGGGACTGGGAGTTCTCAGTGAAAGGGGACAAACCCTGTTGCTTCTCAGGTGGCTTCCGTGGCAGGATCAGTGGCAAAGCAAGTGTCCTGGTCCCTAGGATGCCACCCAGACATCAGAGGGCATTGGAGGGATCCGGGGCGGGGCAGGGTGGGGTGGGGGCGCGCCTGAGCCGCCGGCCCGCAGGCGCGGGCTCGGCGCGTGGGAAAGAACAGCTGCCAGTAAGTAAAGGGAGGTGAGAGGAGGAAGGGTGTGGGGGACAGGGGCGTCCCTAAGGCAAGCGGGGAAAGGGGCTCTCACCCTTGTCGCACGCCAGCAAGAAAAGCTTCTCATTCAGGGTGTTCTCCTCCTTCACCTCCCGCACATCCTTCAGCGCCATCACCTCGTTCGGTGACGAAGAAGAGGATGGGGAGGAAGGCAGGGAGGAGGAGGCGACCGAGAGGTCCAAGCTCGGGTACAGGGCCGCCATCATCGCGGCCCATGACGGGGGCAGGCCAGGAGACGGGGGAGGGGCCTCCCCCGGCCCAGACCCCGACTCTAACCCCGCCCCCCGGCTGGAAAAGGGATGAGTCGTTCCCACAGCCGCCTCGGAGCGCGGCCCGTTGGCCCCGAAGGGTGTCGTCTCCCCCTGGAGCCAGCATTCGCCCTCCACTGACAGCCCGAGGTTGGTGGCGGCGCATGCGCGACCCCGGGGCCAGCGGCCCCTTCCCAGACGCCGGCGCCCGGTCCGCGCCGGTCCGCGCCCGTCCGGGGACGACAGGGAGGCGCGCGCCAGGGCGACAGGCGAGCGCGGGGCCGTGCCAGGAGTCGCAGGGGCCGCGCGAGGGGCGGCCCGGCCCAGAGAAGGACGAAGGATAGGCAGAGGAGCTCCGAGGGGGCTTCTGCGCACGTTCGGCTCCACGCCGTGGAAGCGCCGGTCAAGCTGCGCCCGGAGGAGGTGGATGTTCGCGATTCCCTGCTCACGTCACCGTGCGTTCCGCTGTAGCCAGGACACTGGGGCGGGGCCTACTGCGAATAGACCACTCAGGCCGGGGGCTGGTGCGTGGGCGGGGCCTGAGGCGGGGCGGGCTCGGGAGGAGCCACGGCCACCGCCGCGCACCCCAGTCTCCTACAGGCTGCTTGGTTCAGCGGAGGTGAGAGGCCCTTTCTTCGCCCTCCACACCGAAGTTGTTAGTTGGAGGTGAGTCCCGGGTGCCTCTTGCTGGCATACACTAAAGATGCACCGGTATGCTAATTGAGATTTTGACGACGTAACCTTTAGTCGGAATGCCTTTGTGCCCTTGGAAAAAGCATTTCCTATTCCATTTTGCACTACTCAAAGCAGAGTCCTAATGCTAAGAACTTACTGCCTGCTTTATGTCTACTTAGCGCTGGCTCACTCACTGCCTTTTAGTCGATTCTGTCTCTTGGTGTACCTTAAATAGAAGGTATCCGAGGCTGTAAATCTATTCAAGAGTAGATACACTCGTCTTGCTCTCACAGAGGGGCCGGGCAGCGCTATCTAATTTAACAAAATTCTGTTTTGATCTGAAATTGCCATTATCATTCCTGATGTCACATTAATTTTATGAATTCAAGTGCTCCGGACATGAAACCAATGAAAAGCTATTTTTTAGGACCTAGTCTCCGTGACAATCCTGGTGATTCTTGTTTATCTCCACTTTCACCAATTTCATCTTACATAGCTGTTACTAAGGCAAAAACTGACTGGAACTTAAGCTAAATGTACTTTCTTAAATGATTTGTAATGAATCCTTTATTTTAAAAAAGATCAACCAATATAAAATATTGCTGTTGTCTTGCATCTTAAAAAGCTGGGGGGCAGAGGCAGCAAAATCTCTTTGAATAATTCCATCTCTTAAAAATTCTATTTAATAATTCTTATTTCTTCCCACAACTGTATCACAATCTTAATTGTGACGTTAAAATGAAGTTTAAGGTTTTAAGGTAGTACATACATTTTCTTCAGCAGATCTTATATTTGAGGAGAATACTTCCAACTCAAGGTATTTTGGTGGCACACATGGTTAAGCACACAGAGCCTTGAAAACTCTCTAGAGCATTTCTATTCTGTACACAATTTCATTATGACTTGAAAACCCACTTGATGGCAACTAATAACTTTGTTTTTTTTCTGATTGACTAGTTCATCCCTGCCAATAATTTTGGCTCCAAATTTCCTAATATCTTTTTTATCATTTGAAGTCCCCTTTAGATCTTCTCTTGAGAGGCCTTTTCACTGCCACTGAATGGATGCTGACTCATAGTGACCCTATAGGACAGGGTAGAACTGCCGCATGTGGGTTTAGAAGACTGTAACTCTTTACGGGAGTAGAAAGCTTTGACTGTTTCCCATTGATTGCCTGGTAGTGTAGCAGTCCAACCCATAACTACTGAAATAGTTTATTGTGCCAGCCTGGCCGATAAACACAAGTGGGATTAGCTGAAGGGCAGAGAGATAAATGCCTTGGTGAGTCTCGCCTTTCTTGTCTCTCGCTCTTTGATCATCGGACCAGTGTGCGGCTGCCTTGCTTGTCCTGTGCCTCAATTTAAAGGCTACACTACCTGTGGGACGCCTAGCCTGTGGACTGTGTCGCTGTAAGTTGAGGTCCCTTTAAGACATCGCTGGAGCTGGGGACTGGCAGTTGGTGACCTGGCTGGCAGTTGGTGACCTGCCTTCTGATTGGCTGCTGTGCTGACATAGCCTAGCTCTCTCTATAAATAGAGGAAGATCTGGCAGCAGATTGGACTGGAAGGACTGATAGTCTCTCACATCTCTCTCACGGCAGTGAGTTGAATTGATCCATTTGTAGTGCTTTATAATTTAACTGTTTCTTTCTTGTATTATATATTTAACTGTATATGATTTAACAGTTCATTCCTTGTTATATATCTAATTATCTTTATAAATAAATATATTAAATTGTCAGCAACTTGGTTTTATCTCTCTAGAGACCCTGTCTAACACAACTACTATGCCACCAAGGCTCCCTAAGAGGTCCAAAAGATAGTAAGATTGGTCACTTTTTCAGATATTATATGTATACTTCAAATTAGTTGATTACTTATTGTATCAACTTTGTATCAAATTTACTTTGTCTTATCTGTAGATCATGAATCTCCATTCCAACATCAACAGCCAAAATGTGGTCAGGGGCTGACTGGGGAACAGACCATCAGTGTACGTTTGGGTTGAAGAAAATCGTAAAAAGTTGACAAGAGCCAAAATATGACTTTGAGTATATCCCACCTGAATTTCAAGAACAAAATTGACACATTGACCACTGAAGACAGAAGACCTGAAGAGCTGTGGGATGACATCATGAAAATCATACATGAAGCAAAAAAAGGTCATTAAAAAGACGAGAGAAAGAAAAGATCAAAGTGGATGTCAGAAGAGACTCTCAAACTTGTTCTTGATCATAGAGCAGCTAAAGTAAAGAGAAGAAAAGATGAAGTAAAAGGGCTGAATAGAACATGACAAAGTTCAAGAAGACAAAGTAAAACATCATAATAAAATGAACAGGATCTGGAATTAAAAAGCCAAGAAGGAAGAACATGCTCAGCATATCTTCAATTGAAAGACCTGAAGAAAAATTAAATTGAAAGAACTGAAGAAAAATTCAAGCTTTGAGTCGAAAGATTCTATAGGCAAATATTGAATAATGTAGGAAGCATCAAAAGAAGATGGAAGAAATACTGTACCAAAAAAGAACTGATCCGCCATTTCACTCATTTTAAAAGGTAGCAATTAAGAGGTCAAGAACCAATGGTACTGAAACAAGAAGTCCAAGCTGCACTGAAAGCATTAGTGAAAAACAAGGCTTCAGGAATTGATGGATCACCAATCAAAGTGTTTAAATAAGCTGAAGAAGCATTGGAAAAAATGTGGAAGGCAATTGCCTGGCCAACTAACTGGAAGAAATCTACGTTGTTATCCATTCTGAAGAAAAGTGACCCAACAGAATAGGGAAATTATGACCAATATCATTACAACAAAGTAAAATTTTATTGGAGATCATTTAAAAATGGTTGCAGCAGTACATTGAAAAGCTGCTGCCAGAAATTCAAACCATATTCAGCAGAGGATAGGGAACAAGGGATATCACTGCTAATATTAGATGGATCTTGGCTCAAAGCAGCGAATACCAGAAAATGTTTGTTTCATGGACTATGCGAAGGCATTGGTGTGGATTATCAACTACTGATAGTATTGAGAAATGGGAACTCCAGAACATTTCACTGTGCTCATGTGAAGCCCTACCTCGATCATGAGGTAATTGTTTGGGCAGAACAAGGGGACACTGTATTAAAAATCAGGCAAGGTGTGTGTCAGGGTTGTAGCCTCTCACCATACTTACTCAATATGTGTGTCGAACAGATAACCCAACAGACTGGATTATATGACAAAGATAGGCATCAGGATAGAAGGAAGGCTTATTATACCCTATGATATGCAGATGAGGCAACGTTGATGAAAGCCAGGAAAACTTGAAGCAGTTGCTGATGAAGATCAGGGATTGCTCTTTTCTATATGGATTACAACTCAATATAAAGAAAACCAAATAGACCACCATCTTGATAAAGGAAACCGCATTCAAGAAATCAAATATTGCATAGGGCACATTTGCTGCACCTCTGCAGTGTTGAAGAGCAAGGGGAATACCAAATTTATTAGTTATTTTTGAGGACTGAGGTGTATTTTCAGTCACCTTATGTTTGGGGAAGTTAGACTGAATATGGAAGACTGAAGGGGCATCTATGTATTGAATTATGGTGCTGGCAAAGAATACCAAAAGTATCACAGACTGCCAAAATAAACAGATCTTAAAGTGGTGGGACTTCAGCTCATGAACTTTCGAAATGTTATCAGGAGAGTCCAACTAGTCCCTAGAGAAGGACATCCTGCTTGTCATCCCAAAGGGGAAGCCCCTTGAGATGGATGCAGTGCCTGCAACAACGGGCCCAAACTTGACAACTGTGAGGCAGGACCAGGCAGTGTTTGCTCTTTTATATAAATAGGGTCACTGAGTCGGAACCAACATGAAGGCACCTAACTTCCACCACCACTTCTTTTTCCTCCTCCTCCTCCTCATTTAACAGTTGCAACTGCATCCTGTTCAGGAGCTTTTGGGATCTGGTACAGTGTTTATCCCGTATTAATTATTGCCATCAAGTTGATTTTGACTCAGTAGTCCCTAAAGGACAGTGTACAGTTGCCTCATACGGCTTTGCGTCTATCCAGTGGAATGGCTAGTGGGGGAATAGCCAGTATTTCAGTTAGCAGGCATTTTAGCCATTCTTTCACCACCATTCCTTATATCCAGTATACATTGGAGTGTTTTTTTTTTTTATCTTTCAAGTATTTTTTTTAATTGCAACCATCCGGGATGACTTTTAGATTTTTTGAAAGCAGCCACGTCCGTGGATTGCACATAGTCTTCAAATGCAGTTATCTGCTCCTTGAGCATATCTGCTCCAACATTATCATCTTCAACTCCATACTGTATTTGAAATTTTTAAAATTCTGTATCCCACTGGAATGAGCTCAGATGAGCCTCAGACCAAGCTATCTGCTTGAAAACCTCTTACTCACTCTTCCATAAACTGACAGTATGATTTCTAAGTTTAAGAGTGAGCTTTCACCCTACATACACTTTGTTTCTGTGATGTGGAGACCAATGGTAGACTTGTGATGAACAATTGCATACAACATTCAAGAGCAGTACATTATTCAAAGAAACTC